GCAGGAATGAAAACAGCTATTTTAGTTTTCATTGGTGTGTTAACCATAGGTGTGTGTGAGTGTGTGTGTGTGAGTGTGTGTGTGTGGGCAGAGCTCTGCTGGCTACAGTATGGGGACAGCAGGTCAAAGATTTATTGCCTCCAGGGGAGTAAAAGGCTGCAGGCCCCCGGGGGTGTGTCCTCACATCAATATAACGATGAGGTCCATGGAGCGGGCCGCGGCCCGTTTGCTCCATCACCAGGACAGAGTGGAGTTCTAGTTCTGGAGATCAGAGGAGGCACAGCAACAAACACTTTGACCTGAACTGGAACATCATTTAGAGTTTATCATTTATATTAATTTTTATATAACTTGTAGTTTTATTTTATCATTTATATTTTAATTTTATATTTTATAATTTATTATTCATATTTTATTTTTTATATTTTAGGTTTTGTGAATTTGCTGTCGTCACTGAGTGATGAAAAGTCCTCATGTCACAAAGACGTCATAAATTACGTTCCACCACGTATGGTAGTGTGTGAATGTGTGTGTGTGTGTACTCCAGAAATAGGACACCCACCCAGCTCGTCAGACAGGACACCCAGGAAATAATGTGTCTCCTCTCCACCAGGACAGACCTGCTGCACCTATATCTGCCAACACACACACACACACACACACACACACACACACACACACACACCCCTGCTGCCGGTCTGTAGAAATATTTTTTTGCCGGTCTACACCATGATCCAGTCTGTATACCTGCTCCAGTACGCGTATACAGTATACTGTATGAAGTCACACAGTACACAGTACACAGTACACAGTAGCTGCCTGTCTGTGTCCCTGCTCTATTTGTGTTTACAAATAAATCACCTCATTACACATCATAAGTAGGCCATCATAATTAATTGGCCAGTCATAAGAAGCTTTGACACAACACCCCCAGTGGTGAGTGCGCACACACACACACACACACACACACAGAGTACAGAGGACTGCAGGGGATGGAGGAGAGCATGGCCACAGTGTGCATATTCACAGGTATGAGTGTATCAGGTGATCAGATGATGACAGTGAATGATCTGTCTCACACACACACACACACACACACACACACACACACTTACGTCTGACCATGGAAATGTCCTACAACAGTTCACTCTAAACTGACCACAGGTGTGGATGGTAGTGTGAATGTTAGTGTGGATGTCAGTGTGGATGTTAGTGTGAATGTCAGTGTGAATGTCAGTGTGAATGTCAGTGTGAATGTTAGTGTGGAAGTTAGAGTGTGGAAGTTAGTGTGAAAATGAATGTGGATTCCAGCAAAAGACAGAAGAGAAATAAAACCAAAGACAGAAACTCAGTGGTTAGAGAGACAAGGGGAGAGAGGAGGAGGAGAGATGGGGTGGGGGAGACAGAGGAGCAGGAAGAGCAGGAGTGAGAAAGGAGCAGAGGAGAGAGGAGGAGGAGAAGAGAGGAGCTAAGTGTAAATGAAGATGTTGGATGCTGCCTTTCCAATAGGACCTTGACACAGCAGCTGACCTCCTCATGACAGGATCCCACTGCTGCGGATTTGGAATTCTATTAGTATTACCAGCTGCGGGGGTGAGGGTGGCGGGGTGAGGGAGGGAGGATGTCATGCAGTCATCAGGAAGAAGCCAATCCATAGCTTCTATCCATCAGCCAATTACTGGTGCTAAAGTGGAATTAGATAGGTATTGACAATGAGGGGAGGTGGGGGGAGATTAGGGAGAGTGATTGCAAAAGTAGAGGAAGGATGGAGAAGTTGGGGGTGGGAGGAGGAGGAGGAGGAGGAGGAGGAGGAGGAGGAGAAGGAGGAGGAGGGAAAAGTACATGGACTGAAGTAAAGGTGATGTTTGTGAACATTTTATTCTTCTTTTAATTCTTATTTAACTTTTCCTTGAAGTTTCAGTTTGGACAGTTGGAGTCTGTCTGACCAATCAGAACACTCTGTCTTAACCAATGAGCTCAGCTGGGGCGGGGCTAAGACTCTGACTCTAGAACTAAAGGTGATACTAACCACGGAGTACTTTGAAGTATGACTTTAATGCAGTACTCAGTGTATGTGTTGGTGGTCCCAGTGGTCAGCTGACGTCGACTTCCTTTGGTCAAAGTTCATAACAAAGGCGTGAACTTTGTTCAGATACAGAGGAAGAAAAAGAAGAAGTGAAGACAAGACGTCAAAATAAGATGTGGTAAACAGAGGGGGAGGGGGAGAGAGGGAGACGGGGGGAGAATAGAGAGGGAATATAAACTCTCTGAGCTGTAATGAATTTATGCCTGGCTGGCAGATCTTTATAAGTTATTGGAAAAATAGCTGGGGCGGTGTATCGACACAGCTGGGCTTCAGATCGATGCATTGAGAATGGGCAATACATTTTAATTTAAAGGCTGCACGTTTTAGCAGCAAATCCATGAGAGAGGGAAGGAGGGAGGAAGGGAGAGAGAGAGAGAGAGGGAGAACACAGAACAGGTGAGATCCCATCAGCCTGACCACTGCACTGACCTAACACTTTGGACAGAGTTTGAAATGAACTGTGAACTCTACGTTTAAAGACAGAGAAACATCTGGAAGATACTGAAGCTATTCTTTTCTGTAATTACTTCACCAAAGTCCTACTGGACCTACTGGACCTGCTGGACCACACACACCTACTGTTAATAATGTAAAATAACAAGGCTGTTACCACTAAACCACAAGAGTATAAACTAAGTACTAAGTAAGTTCTAAGTCCTGCTGCACCTGTCCATCAGTTTGGTGCTCCCTGGTCAGAAGAACGTCAAAGACCACGAGTGACCACCTCAGAGAACCTACAGTCTAAACTCCAGCCTGTAGGTGGCGTGTGTGTTGGGTTTAAACATATGCATAAATGAAACCAATAGCATGTGTAATTAAAGGACCGGCTTTACAGCAGGAGGGGGGTGTGGGGAGGAGTGGGGGGGCACTTAACATCTGTTTTTATCCTCCTCAATTAGCATAATTAGTTAACGTTAATCAATCCAAACAAATTATTTTTTAACACCTAGAATAAATCACAGCCCATCTGACTGTTGGTCAACATGGACCATCCAACACCAGGGAGCCCACATTGACAACACATCAAATGACCACATGGTGGCGTCCTACTGTCTGAGGACAAAGTCCAACCAAAGCTGGCCACCAGTCGGTACCACAGCAGTCGGTACTGGAACCAAATGGTCACAGTCAGGTTTGAATCAGAGAAGTGAAGAAAAAGTAAAGAAGAAGAAAAGAGAGTCACATGACCCAGTTATTGTATGAACACACACACACACACACACACACACACACACATACAGTCTGGTGTTGTTAGGTGGCTGTCAGCTTCTCAGTGGTGGGGGTTAATGAAAAAGGCCGTGGGGGGGGGCTGCTATCTGCTCACCACACTGCCACATTTATCGATTTCATTTACACTCATAGACACAACACACACTAACACACACTTTAATAGACAGGCTGTGTCAACAGAGGGAGAAGACCGCAATAATAATAATAATAATAATAATAATAATAATAATAATAATAATAACACAAACTCACTGTGAACCAAATGAGCATGTGAACAGAAATGAGTTCACCTTTTCCCTCCATCTGAATCTCTCTCTCTCACACACACACACACACACAGGTCCATCTGGCCACTCACCTGTGGCCGAGCTGCTGGGTGTGACTTCAACATTAAAGTTGTTCCTGTGGTGAACCTGTGGTTCGTGGACCCGTGGTGGTGCAGCAGCTGGTACTGTCCAGACTCTGGGCTCAGTGTCCAGTCAAACGTCTGGACCCCTGGAATGATGTTTCAGGTGATTCTGTGGGATAATCAGAATACTGTACTATCATACTGCATACAGTAGTACTGTAGTATTCCTGAGGTGATGTACTGTAAGTACTGTTGGTGATTAAAAACCACTGTCAGTACATACAGATCCACCCCCCCACCTCCACCCACCCCTCTTTTTCTAGGATAACAGTTGAAAGATGTGAGGTTTATTCCCACCTGACCCCCCCCCATA